CCCCAAAACCCCAAAACCCCAAAACCCCAAAACCCCTAAATATTGTCCCTAGTTGAAAAATCAAGGATCATTTTCTCGGCTCAGAGCCCTATTCTTGACAACTATGGTAAAAGTCTTGCCTTGAGTTTCTTCCAGAAAATCTACTTACTTTTGACATGAAAGCAGATCATTAAGAATGCTAATGTTTCTTATCGAAATAATTAAAGGCTTGCTGCTTTTACAATTAGCATTCTCAAAGTCAGCTTATCGGGTTTGTATTCATATGTAGGGATATTAGATTTCTTACTCAGACTTTTCACGACTTTCTGTAGCTTAATTATACTCTTTCTCGGGCTAGAACTGAATGTATTCGCTTTATATCTCTTGGTCAGCGCATGTGACTTTGAAATACCTCCAAACATTATAGGCGAACCTTTCTTATTGACTCTAGGTGAAGTAGTATCTTGATGTTTGAGGGTTTTATGCTTCACTGTATCATCAAGGCCATTGACATTGATGTCATCAAAAAGTTCAGTCTTGATCTTCCTAGCCAACCGGTTTCTTTTATTGCACTGCTCCATTGAGTCAAACTCTTTATGAGTTTCTCCGTAATACTTGAAGAAAGCAGCTGCATTGAGATGGCCTCTCATCTTCAAATATTTATCTATCAAGTTAGATTTTACCTCAGCAGAAACTGTTGCTATCGGAACAGACAACTTTTTGAATCTTTTGAAATATCTAGAGCTTTTGTTGGATAATCATTTGGCCATGAAGAAGGATTTAACTTCTTCGTCCCACATTTTGGAGATTGTGTGTGCTCTATTACGCCTGATCCGAAGAATCCGTTTGAGCTTCAATTGCATCTTCTCAACACAGTGATAGTATGCGGTAAAAGTAGTTGTGATCTTCTTCTGGTCAGCTTTAGAGCGAAGGAAGTCATCTATGTATTATTTCTAAATTACAGATAATATTATTTACATGTCTGCTCTTTACTTATTATGCTAATCTTTCCAATAATGGTAACTGAGTTCCGGATAGTTCTAATAGTTCTCTCTCATATTGAGGATCCATATTGAGATAAATGATTTCTATATTTCATACCAAAAGCCTCACCTCATTTTCTTCTTGAGAATGCCTCCATAGTACTTTTCTGCAAATTCCCTAAACCTTTCATTTTTGAGGTCCATGACTTTATCAAAAAGACACTTATAGACATTAAATGTCTTAGTGTAGGTTAGCAAAACCTTTGCCATGGCTGATTTCTTCTGTCTAGCTTTCTGATGCTTCTCTAGAATACTCTTTTGTTCACGAAAAACATCCCATCTAGTTAGAAGAGTAGTCTTATGTTTCATTTTCTCTTTTTCTATTGTTTAATAGTGAGAAAGTCCAAAATTGAGATATCCAGAGATCTTGTAAAAGGACTATACCTAATGTCTTTTTGCTATTTCTGGGCATTTTTAGTTCTATTATGATAATAATTCAAGAAAATACCTTGCTTTGATAGCTTTGAATAATTTCTATACAGTTATAACAACTTATACTGTTTTATTGTTCTGGTTGATGTCCTTCCACATTCACACATTATCACGGTTGTATCTATCACAATACATTAAGACTTTATGGTAATAAAGATCTCTTATATTATGAAAATGTTCAATATAAAAATCAAGTGCTGGATGGACAATCTTAGAAGTAACCAATTATTGTACCTCACATGGCCTATACAGTATTAAAAATCTGGCTAATACCGTTTCCTATACTGTTTCGTTTTGCACGTCTGATCTCTTTGATCTCCTTCTGCAATTTTTCATATTTATCTTCATCCATAATAGTCCTAGAGTGCCATTAAGATTTATGTAAAGTATTTTGTGAATCCTAACTGCTGTACTAGCTGTGGCAATTAATAAAACAGAAGGCATACTCATCAACCAACATCTTGAGTCTGAGAGACTGAGAGATTATAGTCCTTCTCCTTCTTCCTCCTGATTCCGGGCCTTGAAAGATCTTATTTGATGGAGAAGTAACCCCTTTTGAGCTTAGGGTAATCGGTGTCTTTGGATTCAAATATTTTGAATTGTAGAGACTGCTTTTATCTTTATAAATTTTTGCCAGCTTGGAATTATCACCTATAGGAATGAAATATAAAAGAGCTAGCTCAAAGATTACTTTCACTGAAGGTTAGAGATAAGTTATAAGCAGTTTCACTGAGGTTCCTCATCTCAGATCTGAGTCTCTCTTCGAGATTGACATTGATATCTTTCTTCTTTCTTTGTGAGCTCTTTAAGATTTCAAATTTTGAGATTGATTTATTATCTTCTTTATTACATTCTCTTGTGCTGAAACTGAGGGTCGACTCTAATGAATTCTTATCAGCTTTAAGTTCATTTGCTATAGAATAAATTCATACAAATTACTGAAAAAGTTATTTTTAATTTTGTTCCTCTTTCTAGAAACCGCTGTCTTTGGAATTCTTCTTTGTAGAAAATCTATTCCAGAAATATTCTTAGCTGATTTTTCATGACTTAAATCCAGTATCTTCTTGTTGGAATAGTGAATTGCTTTAGCTCTCCTGTGTTTACCCGAGTCTGAAGTCCTATAAAGTTGTTAAATGAAGTACCAATTTCTTGCAGAGGTGTTCAGCCCAAAAGTCCTAGCTTTTTTATTTTCGAATTTTGTTAAGTTTCTCATTCAAATCAGAATCAATTAACAAGACATTTGTTTGAGGATTATCACTCCTCCTTGAGAACCTATTTTTAAGGCTCCTCTTTGTCTTAGAGGCTGTATTGAGCCTTCCTGAGTGTTTTCGTGAAGTTTTCATTCTAAATAAGTATCAAATCCATCTTTTATGTTAAGAAAAGGTCAGTTTCATTACTGAAGATAGGAAATTTTGTAAACCAAATTTTAGTACATTAATTTTTAATCAAAATACTAAATTGCTGATATATTCTAAAAGGGAAACTTAGAGGTAGAAATACTCACTTAATGCAAGAGAAATGTAACAAGAAGTTCTCTGGAATGTAGAGGAAGTCCCCTTTCCACTTGGCTTACATTTATGTTGATATAATTTATTTTAATTATAACAACAACTTCATTAGTCTTTGGGGTTTTGGGGTTTTGGGGTTTTGGGGTTTTGGGG